TCCCGACTACGAGATCACCAAAGAGGGTGATTACTACACACTGAAGACCGTATCCGAGTTCAAGACCTCTGAGATTAGGTTTAAATTGAATGGCGAAGAGTTTGAAGAGAACCGTTTGGATGGACTCCGAGTGAAGTCAACGATCGTTCAAAAGGGAAACAAATGGATTCACAAACAGATGAGTGACAAGAATTTGGTCACAATTATCAGGGAATTCAATGGCGATACCATACGAGTGACCGGTGCTCTCAATAATGTAGCCTTCGTTCGCATATATAAGAAAGTCAATTAGTATTTCTCATAATGATCTAGGTATAGGTTTACCATAATTTAATTTGATAAGATTTTAATTTATATAAAGTAAAGAAGTATACAATTGTTTTAAATAGTCTTAAGAATAACATGTTGATATTTTTTTAATCTATATTAATTTATATTTGCGGATGATTGTATCTTGTTTTAATTAATTAATATTAAATGATTTTAAATATGTTTTTGTAATAATTTATAAATGAATTGTTAATAATAACAATATTATCGTATGAATTGAAGAAGCGATTCTCTATTGTCTAAAATACAGCAACAATTTTCTAATCAAACATTAATTATATTATATTAGATGTGATTTCTAAATGAAATGAAGTGTAAATCAAAAACAAAATCAATTCAAGCGTTGCGTTCATCGATTTATTAATTCAATTCCCGGTTATTATTGGCTATTATTATAAAATTTTTGAAAATCAATGGAGAAATACATTAAACACGAGGTGAGGAAAGAGCTCATCGGTTATTGTACTCCAAAAGGCGTCGAAGTTATGATCGATAGAAAGGATGGCAAGACTTTTGATTGTTATCTGATTTTCAAATTATATGTTATATCAGTAAAGAGAATATTCCGACGATTAGTCATAAAAGGCACGACATTTCTATGGCTTTTGAAGTGTGTTTAACCTTTATATTAACGTCAATAACGTATTAAAGTTATATATTGTTTGAAGTTTTTCTAAGTCATCACTTTTAGTGTCCTTTAAACTGAATTTTTGGGAAAAGAAAACTAAAATGTTTTGGGAATTAAAATATATTTTATTATAAGTTATAACACAAAATACCGTAAGTTTGTATTTGTTGGAAACTATTGTCAATTTTAAAAACAATAAGTTTCTTATATTAACAAATAATAACAATTTTTGAGTTATAATTTATAAGCTCTTTAATATCCAGTTTGTTGCCATCAATTGAATGAAATTATATTTATAAATAAATACAATTATCAGAAATTGTCTACAATTTAAGTCTAAAAATGAGACTTTAATTGTGATAAAACGTATGGCGAAAAACAAATAAAATCAGGAAATATAGAAACAATACATGTATTGAAGTATTTAATGACAGAAAGTATTACAAAAGAAATTAAGCGACAATTTTAAGACTCAATTCACTCTAATTTACAATTAAAGCA